AAACTAACAATACTGAAAAAAGAAAAAGAAAAAAAAGTCCTAAGGTAAACTTACCTAATCAGTAAAGTGTTCAAAGTCTAGACTTATCAAAAAAAAAGTACTGAACGTGTGTGTGCGCGTATTAGGTACCTCCACAAAAAATGCAATATTTTAGTTTTACTTTCAAGTTGAATGATTAAATTTAATAATTCCAATAAGCAAAATACTATGTTGTAGTTCAAAAGTAATTTAAATTCATTGGAAGAACTTTCCATTTTGAATTTTCTAAAATATTTGAATTAAGCACCATTTTTAGCAAACTTTTATAAAAACGTAAATCTCTTTATTTAAAAAAAATCTTCCAAAAATAAAATTTACTTTTCTGAAACTTATTTGAGGAATATTAGCTGATATAAAGTAGAATTAATCTGATTTGAAACAATTACTATTTACTTCAAGTTCTTAAAATATCACAGAAATGTATTTTTTAACATGACAGTAGCTTATTTATGTATATTGACAGCTTTCAAACTGATGTTGTCGTATGGGGGCTTTTAAACATTGAGAAGGTAATTTTAGAACACGAGTGCCGTTTCAGTACTCAGTAATCTTAAAATTTTAAGAAAATATTCTGTGTAATCTAATGTTTTATTGAATTTTAGATAATTTGGGCTCTAAATTTACTCTAGTTATTACTCTGATAATGTTGTGTATATGTAAATGTACCTATAAAAATCGGTATGTTTATACACATAAAAAACCAATTCAAAATTCTTTTAAAAATATTTTTGGTCCTCAGGTTGTAATAAGCTTTATGATATATGATTAGCAAATACAGTTTTATTTACTAACAATATTTCCGAAGAGTTGAAAATGAATTTTAAAAGATTTTAAAATATTATAAACTAGCTTAAAAGCTGCCCTATTGAGTGGCATTTAAGCTAGGTCTAGCAAATGTCTCTTGATTGGGCTTTCATCACAACAGGTAGGGAGGAGTAGATGCAATAGGCAACAATAAACTACAGAAGAACTCAAAACTGATGACTGCATTTAAGTATTGCATTAATACTTAACCTTACCTTTTTAATTATTCTGCTGCCACTTAATTGAAACACAATTTGATGTATGTAGGCTCATACAAGCCATTATTTTTATTTCATGGGTGACTTTTGCTGGATTTCAAAATTTTGATTATTCCCAAATTTTAAAAAAAAATTGTTATCAGACAAAAGAATTTGTTGCAAAAAAATAATCAGGTTAACAAAAAAACAAAACAAAAAAAAAAATACACTGAAAACAATCACAGTAATGAAAACTTGGGAATCCAAAATTTCAAGATTGTGGATCCAGCCCAGAATGTCTTTAATTTGTTCATGGAGTTGTCCTGATTCCAAAATGGTATAATATATATTGGGCTATGCACTCCAGGAGTAAAGTTGAAAAAGTGTGACACACTCACATATTCATTTATTATATAGATAATCTTGTGTATGGGTGATCGTACCTATAAAAAATTAGTACATTTATACACATAGAAAAGCAATTCCAAATTCTTTAAAAAATACTTGTGGTCATCAAAATTGTAATTAGCTTTACGATATATGATTAGTAAATATAGTTTTACTTAATAACAATATTCCCAAAGAGTTACACCATTGAAAATGGATTTTAAAATATTATTATTCTAAATTAAAATTGTAAAAAAGTAAAACCAAAAATGAGTAAAACTTAATTTTTTATCAAAAAAATATTGTCCTTAATATATTATTCATAAAGGCAATTAAGAGCTTCCCTAATTAAATAATTTTTTCATTTTATGATTGAGAGCAAAATTTGGGTAAGACGGGGTCCAGCAATCATCAGGTGAAACTGCCTGATGATTGCCATTGCATGTAATTATATATTTGAAGAAGAAACATAGTTTTAAGGTGTGCTATATTTATGGGATAAAGTGCTCAATATCAAGGATAGAGCATATATATATATATATATATATATATATATATATATATATATATATATAAATTTATTAGAAAATTATAACGTTATAAAATCACTACAAAAAAAGCCATTTTCTTTCAACACTTCTGGTGTCTTATCAAATGATGGTGTTGAATGAAGAATAAAGAGAGAAACTCTTTATTCTACATTCAACACCATCACCAAAAGTGTTGAAACAGAATGGCTATTATTGTAGTGATTTTATAACATTTATGTTATAATTTTCAGATAAATTATATTTGCTCTACCGTTTTGAGTACTGTTATTGGATTTTATTCCGAATATACCAATGTGTGCGTGATTATATATATATATATATATATATATATATATATATATATGTGTGTGTGTGTGTGTCTTAGTGAATTATTTATTCTTTTAATTAATCTTAAATTTAATTTAGAATGTGCTTTAATTTAGTTCCTCCAGAGTAAATTTGTGTCCAGTTTCTTACAGCATTTTGCCATTCTTAGCAGATATTTAATAGAAACAAAAGATAGAAACAAAAAGATAATAGAAAATAATCTAAATGGAATTGGCGAGTTTTACAGGAAAGAAGATAATGGAATGGCCACCATCAAGTTTCAATCTGAATCAGATCAAAAATCTATGCTCAATTGTGAAGGTGCAATTTTATAAAAGTAGCAAACAATATAACAGCAAAGCAGGTCTATGGGAAGTAATTAAAACCACACTGTTGGAAAGTAAACAATTTAAAAAAAAAAAAAAAAAAAAAATCAATACATAATAGATTTACTGCCTGTTCTTAAGGGTTATTATATTAAAATGGAAATGCTTTGAAAAGTTATGGTGCATGCTTATTATTTGTACTATTACAGGTGTTAATCAACTGCTGATGTTTTTTTATTGCCTTGTTATGTGAAGTAAAGAGATTTTCTGGTTTTGTATGACTGCAGTTTTTATAATAAATCCAATAAACTACCTAAAAAATTAAGTGAAGCTTTATTTGACATCTAAATTATTTATTTAAAATTTGACACTTATGTGATTGGTATAACTTCAGTTGCACTATACCTCCTGATGAGTGTATGTATATGTTCGTCTACAAAACCCTGGTGTCAGGATGCTGAAGGTAACAACAATCAGCTAAGTGACAAACCTTTTACTTGTGGTTATAAAATTCTTTTATATATATATATATATATATATATATATATATATATATGTGTGTGTGTGTTTCACGTAAGTGTCTACAGTTTATGCTTATAGGGATTTTCTAAGTATAACTCAGGTTGGGTACAAGGCTGAAAGTATGAGGCACAAAGTGAAGATCAAACTCACTACTTGGCTGTAATTGTTCTAGTGAGACAAGCTTGCTGATTCCACCACATCGAGGTGCCGAAATGATTTTCAAAGCTTATATATGGCACAGGTCCAAAAGTATGGGACACCCAGTGAGGATAGAACTTACTATTTTAATTGATCTAGCGAGTAGACCATATCAATGTGCCCTCTACTTTTTCTATCTATAAACAAATATGAAGACTTACTAATAAAACACCTACAATGAGATGAGTGTTGACTTAATAAATTATGGAGGTATTTTCATTTATGCTTCCAGTTGACAATTTTAAAAAGATCATCTGCTCTAATAAAATAAGCAATAGAATCAAAATATAATGGAAACAAAAAGAAGCAAAAACAAACAAAGTGCAAATTGAAAAAGAGTCTTTTAAGGAGAGAGTGGTGAAAAGTTTAAAACTTTATTCTGTGACACTTTGTGTCTCAGATGGAAATTTTGGATGATTACAAGAAAGAGTGGAACGAGGACTCTCAGCCCACAATCAACGATTCTTTGCAGGTAGACAAAGAAAATAGATTACAAGAACATTTTGTACTCAATTCTTACCATCTTCCCTGCTTTGTATTTTTTTTTTTGGTTTTTTAGGTTTTTTTCCCTTCCAGATTAATTTTTCGATTTCATTTTCATTTGAAGATGATTTCAAATCAGTTGAATATGAGGGGGAAAAAAACTGCCCCATATTCCTTTATTTGTTTTTCCTAAAAGGAAGAAAAACAAAAAAAAAAAAAAAAAATATAAACACTTTCTAAAGCCAAATAATTAAATGTCAAGAGATAAAAACCACAGAATGCCTTCTTTTGAAAATACATTTTTGTCCATCATCTAAAAGTCATGTCTGGGAGCAGTAAGAGAAAAAAAAACAAAAAAAAACAAAAAACAAAAACGGAATGCACCCAGAAGTGAACAAACATTAGTGTTTGATAGTTTATCAACTGACACACTACAAAGTTGTCACAGTATCAAGGTTAGCTTTGGGTTTTATCCCAATATTACTCTTTCAACCCCACAATTTCTTTGTTTTTTTTTTAGCAACGGATATTTCTTTTAATTTCAGCATAGAATTATTTTGAGAACCCCTCGCCATTTCATTTTCAGTCTCCAATCTCATATCAAATAGGTAAACAAGTAAGAGTTATGATGCTAATCCAGTAATGGGATCAGACTCCAAGGGTTGAATCCTTTGAACAGAATTGTACAGGCTTTTAAATTGCACTGATTACCTTCAGATGCCTGGCATTGCTGATTAGCCCCCAGAAACCTGCACCAGAAAAGATTTCAGGCCTATTGACAAAGGAAATAGATTTCAAATGATCCCTTAACTGATGACTTTGCAGTTGGTATCCCCCTTGTGCAAAAAAGCCTTTGTGAAATGGATCAATAGACTACATTATGACAATGATGACAATGACAAGCTTTTATGAACTGGGGTCAGTGACAAAGATCTTAGGAAGATAATTTACAATACCGAAAATAGGCATCAAATTCTAGACAAAGGAATCCAGAGTCTGCTGGTTCAAATTTTACAGGCAGCACATTAACTTGTTACTTGCTGACAGATTTGATGAAAGAAGCTGCAGAAACTGGAAATGAAATTGTTGCGAAAAAAATCTCACATTTTTATCTTCTGTCCGTTGCACATTCTTATAGTTTAAAAAAAAAAAAAAAGCTGATATGAAGGAGATTTTTAAAGGAATTATCAGTATTTAGAGGGATAGTAGATATTATATGGCTCATATGGTCGCTTGGCTGGGGGCCCCATATAAGGATTTGTCTGGGCATAATACCGTTGCCAGTCTTGATTGTAGGGGTAACTATAGGCATCCCTCTGGTAGGGTGTGTTCCTGTAGAACTCTCTATCTGTTCTTCTTCTGTCTCGATAGGAGTCAGAGGTTTGTCTGTGAGTGGTATGATCGGTAACAGGCTGCTCAAAGCGCCTACCCATGGAGTCATTTCTCCGGCCACTGTCTCCTCTGTGATCAGAAATAGTCCGCAGCCGGTCTGGTTCATAACGCCGAGAAGCAATACCCGAAACAGTCAATATAGGAGCTCCTTTTGGTTCTTCTTCTTTGTTTGCTGTTTCCGTATCTTCAGCAGTGCCACTATCTGCCAACTGGTTTGACTCCGTCTCATCAGTGTTGGCAGCTGGGTTGCTCTCCACATTAGCATCCTCCTCCAGTTTGACAGCAGTCAGGTTACGGACGGCTGTCCCGACTGTCTCTGTTAGATCAGGGAGAGAGTCAACTATGGGTGGGGTCACTAGGTTGCTGGTGGTTTTACGTTTCAATTTTTCAGTAAATTCTCTTTGATCATCGAGAAACTCTGACTGGGACAGCACACGGTTCACTCTGCTTGTGTAAACAGCAGGGGTGTTCCCATTTGATGGGGGTGGAGCCTGGGGTGGAGGTTTGGCTCCTTGCAAGGAGTCGGGTAATGGGTTAATGGTGTCTGAGGGATTGGAGAAATCTTGCAGGACAGAACGCCCCATGGGTCTAGCATGAGGCGGTGGAGGGCCCATTGTCAATGGGGGTGGTATGCTAGGGTCATGTGGTTGAGGAGGAGGTTGGCTCATCCAGGGAGGAGGCATGGGGCAAGGCTCAGGACTTGTTTGACCCTGGGGGCTGCTGTTGTAGCCATCAGAAGGGTCACTGGCATTGCTAATTGGACAATATGGCGCATTCATGTCGTGTTTCCAAGGACTACGGGGTGGTAATGGAGTGTCAGCAGGGTGAAAAGGCGGATTGATCCCAGGAATCCCGCCTGGCATTACCATCTGGTCATGTCTTTGAATGTTAGCCATACCCACAGATTCTGGGGGAGGTTGCATTGGAGGCAAACCTGGTGGGGGGATACTTTCATTACCAGGGTTGACCATACCAGGAGGTAAACAGTCTGGTGGTGGAACTGGTGCTACCCCTGATGGTAAGGGTTCAGGGAGTGGAGGCATTGGGGCCATACCTGGGAGGTGATCAGGTGGAGGAGGTGGTCCCATCATTGGTGGCAATGTTGTAATATCTGGCCTTTGGGGCATTGAAGGCATCCCCACCGGTTCATGCTGTTGAGGGGACAGCATTTGGGGTGGCATATTTGGAGGAGGTGGTGGGGGTGCAGAGGTGATCATGTTGGGGAGATCATCAGGAGGACCGTGTTGGGCTTTCCAAGCAGCCCATGACTGTGGGGGTGTTGCTGTCTGGTTGTGCTGAGGAGATGGGGGCTGCAGGGCTGATTGGCTTGGCATTGACACTGGGACGGGCCCTAAAGTAGGAGGAGGCATCTGAGGGGGCATTGTAGGAGGGTTGAGATCAACAGGGGTCTCTTTTGTTTTTGTATCGTCATATGAAGTAAACGGCTTCATGCCTGTGTTCATGAGATTTTGCAAGAAACTTGCCGTGCTTGTCTTTGGAGATTTTTGCGTCTGATTGATAAGCTTTGTGAGGAAATCAATTGGGTTTTCCCTCGTGGTTTGTTCTTCTTTCTCATCCTGCACTGGCGTACCCCCACCCTCATCATTGAGGGGTGTACTGCTACCCTCATCATTTGACAGGGGTGGTGAATCATAAGCTGTTGCTGCTGCTGCAGCCGCCGTTGCAGTCGATGACGCAACTCGACTGGAAGAAGACGACGACGAAGAACTGGAATTGTGCATACCACTGCTGCTTGAATGCAGTTTTCGATGGCTACTTTTATGAGAAGAGTGGGCAGGGCTGGTAGAACTGCTCCGGATGTTTGACCCATCCAGCCAGTCTGGGCTCTCATCAGAAGCTGTGGTGCTACTGCGACTATGTTTGCGGTCAGAGTGGTAGCGATGCTCTTTCCTTGATGATGACTGCTGTAGAACTGGAGGTGGCACTTCATTGATTGGACTGGACATGCTAGCACCGAGTGGCAAGTTTGGCAACATACTAGCAATTCGTTTCTCAAGACTGTTACATTCCTCAGTCTTCTTGCTGCTGCTGCCACCTGCACCACCTACAGGAAAAAAAAAAAAACAAGGAAAAACAAGAATTAAGATATTAAGAGAATTTAATCTATTCCAAATTTATATTTAAGTTAGCCTTCAAAAGATGTATTATTAGACATCTGGGCACATGAAAGATAAAAGTATTTGGAAAAAAAAGTCTTAGCTTGAATAATAGTGGCAACTGTTATCACAACAAATAGGTCTTACTTTCTTTTTTAGATACACAATTGTAGCCTCTCTTCTGGTGAGAAATACAAAATAGTGGGGATATACCTGAAGACTTAGGTAGATCTATTTTCATAACACACTGCCGTAAGTAGTCAAGTGGAAACAAATGTGCATGTCATTGGACAAACAGCTTAATGAGAGAAATGACTAAACCTATTCTCAGTTCACTATTTACATTATTTGGACTATTGTTCTCATCTTTGTTGCCATATTTATCACAATGTTTTGGTTATTGTATGCTCCGGCCTTCTTCAGGTGGTTGGAATGTCAAACTGAACCCTTTATTTTGCTTGCTGGGGTAGACTGTTCTAGTTCCATGTGCCATGTCTGATGGATGTCAGTTATCAGTTATCTCCTGTTAATTCACCTCTCTAAGTTCTCCACTGCCTTAACCACAACTCTTTGGGTCCTGTCACTGGATCTAACCAACACCTTTATCCACTATGCCATGTGTCCTTAGACATGGCATGCAGAACTTGAACAGTCTACCCCAGCAAGTGAAATAAAGGGTTCAGTTCGACATTCCAATAAACTGAAGAAATCTGGAGCATACAACGGCTGAAATGTTGTGATAAATATGGCAACAAAGATGAGGACAATAGTCTGAATAATGTAAATAGTATACATAATACCTCATCTCAGAAATATAGACAGATACTGAAGGATCGGATAAATATGGCAACAAAGATGAGGACAATAGTCCGAATAATGTAAATATTGTACATAATACCTCATCTCAGAAATATAGACAGATACTATTCTCAGTTATTCTGATGAATAGAGAGCAGAGTAGAATCAGACCAGAAATTGTGCAGTTTCATTAAAGACACTGAAATAGGGAAAGTTTTATCCATAAGCATTGACACATAGAATTGTTTGAACTGCTAGGTAAACTTGACCTATTTGGTAAAGATATCAGAAAACAGCAAATGCCCCAAAATAGAAAGGGGCACAAGACAAAAATGTATTTTCTCACCAGACTTATTCAACCTTTACAGTGAGGTAATCCTGAGAGAACTACAAGTCCTACTAAGATTTATTATTGGTGAACACAATCTTAACATCATAATGTTGATAGCAAACAGAGAAAAGAAACTGCAAAGACCCTAAGAGAAGAACATAAAGGAAAAGGAGAAGAAAGGACTAAACATCAATTTTAAGAAGAAAGAATGACTGGCTGTCAGCAAGAGAAACATTCCAAGATATGAACTATAAATTGAAGATGCCAAAATCAAGCAAGTACCAAAATTTAAATATCTGGGAAGCGTTTTAACAGAGGATGGAAAATCTGATCTCAAAATCCAAAGGAGTATTGAAATTGCAAAAGATGCCTTTCAAAAGGCAAGCAAAGGATTAAAGAAACAAACAAATTTTGTTAGAAATAAAGATAAGAATGCTAAAATGTTATTGTAATATTTTACTGGGACTGGTGAAATAGCCTTGGTATCTATTTTACCATCATCAGCAAAATAGCCGTGGTATCTATTTTACCATCACCGGAAAAATAGCCTCAGTATCTATTTTACCATCAGAATGTTTGTCCATATGAAACTGAGAAAATAGATTTTTAAGCAAAGTCTGTGTTTTACCCATTATTATCAAACATTCATTGGCCGATTAATACAGATTACTTGAACTCAGCTGTAGACTTGAAAGTCTTTGATGAATATCTTCCTTGTAACTACATCGTTTTTATTCTTTCTCAAATTTAGTCACAGAGCATATTTTGCTGTTTTTTTTTGTTTTTTTAACCTTCTCTTCCCATATCTTTTATAATCAAATGGCAGAATCAAAAGAAAAAAGAAAAATATCTTTTCACTTTTCAGAAGTGGTTGACTTCCCGACATGTTTCTCCAGTAACCCTGATGAACATGCTTCTCTTCTCGATCATTTCTTTTACCTCTATACCTGACTCTTGTTCTACACAGCTCTGCCCTCTTGGCAACTCTGATCATGTGGTTGTGTCTACATCTTCTTCTGCTCCCACACCAGTCAAGAACCTCCTACCAACAGAATATCTTTCTGTTATCAACAAGCAGATTGGGACACATTCCATGATTTCCTCCATGATGTCTCTTGCAATTCGTTTTTAATCTTCCTGTTCAAAAATGTATGTCTGAGGTCTCCTGGGTGAAAGCCGACATCGACGTTTTCATTCCAGCAAGGAAATACCAAGTTAAATTGAGTTCATCTCCTTAGTTCTCACCTGCATGCTTGGCCACTACAGCCCACAAAAATCACTTTTTCTGGCTGTACCAGAGCAACATGTTTGATTGCGACAGATGTCTTTTTGTCTCTACTCATAATGAGTGCAAGTGTGTCCTCAAAGTGAAGCTGCTGTTCACTGACAGAATGTGTTGCATCTCGCAAACTCAGATCTAGAGATTATTGGCAGCTCTGCAAGAGTGTGCTGAACAACAGCAAAACCTCAATCCCTCCTCTATTCAATCAATTTGAAGTTCTGACATCTACAGCAGAAAAGGTTGAATGCTTTGCTCAGAAATTCTCTTCCAATTCAACACTCAAATCTTTTGGAGATACCCATATCTGATTTCCCCTGTAGAACAGAGGCTCTACTGAGTGATATATGCATAACCCCATCAATGCTCTCAGACTTCATTTCAAAATTAGACTCCAATAAGGCAAGCAGAGCTGACAGGATCCCAGCCATCATCTTAAAGAAATGTGCTCCCAAGCTGGCTCCAGTTCTCTCCAAACTCTACAACTATTACCTTGCTGCTTCCTGCTTTCCAGCTTGTTGGAAGTCCTTTGTAGTTCCTGTTTTAAAGAACTCTGAAGAAGCTATTGACCCCCCTCTATCACCCTAAAAGTCTCCCACCACTTTTTAGCAAAGTATTCAAGGCTTTAATCAATAAACTGAAGTGGTTAAGCATCTTACCTCTCATGACATACTGTCTGACAAGCAATATGACTTCAGCTTTGCCAGGTCTACTGCTGATGTGCTAATGGCCATCACTGAATATGTATATAAGGCTCTTGATAATAACAGCGAAGATCGAGCTGTTTGAAAGGGTTTGGCACGTGGTCTTCTATGTAAGCTCTAGGGCTATGGTATTACTGGATGATTGTTTGAATTAATCCAATAATTCCTATCAGATTGTGGTTCACTTCCAGATCCTTTCACACAAATGCAGGTGTCCCCCAAGGCTCTATCCAGGGTCCTATGCTGTTTCTGATCTTCATCAATGATCTTCCTGAAGTCATCAGTTCCCAAGTAGGCATTTATGCTGATGGCATTATGATTTACTCTTGTCTCAATAGCAAATCCGTCAGAAAAGGACGTCCAATCTGTGGTTGACTGGGGCAGGAAATGGCTTGCAAATTTTAATACCTCTAAAACTGCTCTCATTTAACCACCAGAGAAACTTCTCAGCCCATCATCAGCATGGCTGATGCTAGGCTCATGGAGAGCAACACACTGCACATATTTGGCCTCACATTTTCAACTAACATGAAGTAGAACAACTACATAAAACTAATAGCTGCCTCTACTGAAAGGAAGTTGAGTCACTCTTTGGTGCAAGAAGGTTTTTCATGTCAGAGTCCATTTTGCACATTTACAAATCTACTATTCATCCATGCATTGAATACTGTTGTCATATCTAGTCTGGTGCTCCTGCTATTCATTTCTAGGTTCTTGACAAAATCCAAAGAAGCATCTGCTATGTAACTGATCCTAACTTGGCATCACAACTTCAGTCACTTTCTCACCAACGTGATGTGGCTTCATTCTGTCTTTTCTACAAATATTTTTATGACAACTGCTCCGAGTTTAAGCATGCTATTAGATTAGCATCTAGGTCCAACCCTTTTACTGCTGAATTAGTTAAATGTAACCACCACTTCTACTTGAATAGTTTCTTTTCTCACACTTCCTGCCTGTGGAACTACATTCCGTTTCCTTACTTCCCTGATAAATACAATCTTCAAAAATTTAAATGCAACATCAATTGTCATCTATCTTCTTGAACCCCATTCAGCTTTTATCCTTTCCTCAGTCCCCCCCCCCCCGCAGCCAGTCTTTTCTATCACCTTCACTCTCTGTAATCTTCTGCATACCAGTGACATTCCAGCTTTGAGTTGAAATATATATATATATATATATATATATATATATATATATATATATATATATATATATATGTTACAAAAATGGATTGAAATGAGGTGAAATAGAAAGAACAAACTCTCAGGTGCACAGGCACTGAGGATACTAAGTAGACAAATGACACTGGAAGGGGGATATACTAAAATAAATTGTTATATAGCAGTTTAATGACATTAAAACTTATTGGCTATCATTGAAAGAAGACCGATCCCACATTTAGCAGGATAGAAGAATTTCACAATAAATGGAGATTGTCTAATAATGTATTTTGCTGGTACCATCCTGAACTTCTTTTCAAGTTTTAGGATGCAAATGAAGGTTTTCTGAATGAAATGAAAAGAAAAAAAAAAAAAAAAAGGCTATGAACCAATCAACATCAGTGAAATTTTCAGAATATATTTATAATAAATATACAAAGTGAATTTAAGCTTTTCCTGTTTTTATTAGAAATATTTATAATAACTTTTGATCTGTGAGAGATTCTGTAATGCAACCTGAGGCCTGTTCATTATAGTGTAAATATATGATTAAATTATAGCTATTGGTATCTATTTTTATACTTTTAAGTACATAAAGATTGCTATGAGTTAAATTTCAAATGAGGAAGAAGCTATTCTAAATTTATTGAATGTTGGAAACAATTGCAAACAAGCAGAGATGAAAGCACAAAACATTAAAATCATTGGTAAGATAAGAACAAGAAGGACTGGCTTTAAGAATGTCACAGAAATAGACAAGTTGAGTGAATCTGCAAGATTCAAAGAAGCTCCTGTTGTGAATGTAAACCAAAAAGATGCAGAATATTAAAAGATAGGAAAGCAAGCAAAAATAACGTCTTTTAAGTAAACATCACAAAGATAAAGGGATTTATTGTGGGGAAAAAATTGATGAAAACTGATTTTTCAACAGTAATTTTTAGTGATAGATGTAGAACTACAAAGAATGAACCAGATGATGAGCTAAAATTTGGGTCATTAATGGAAATAGTCAAGCAACACAATTTAGAAAACTGGCTTTGGGGTGGAGTAATATTTTAGATTTGTATTGTAAGCAGTAAAGTTCCTTCAAAATTGGTAATACAGAGAATTATTCAAAGTTCTTGGACAAGACATTTTTTGAGTTGTACAGGTCACAACAAAAAATTTTTTTATTAATACTAGTTACATTGTTTGGATTGTTATCCTCATGTTTGTCATATTCATGACGTTTCAGCTGTTGTACACTCCAACCTTCTTCAGGTGATCTATGTTAGAATTTTGAACCAAACCCTTTATTTCATTAACAGGGGTAAACTGTTCTAGTTCCACATGCCATGCCTTTTCTGGGTATCTCAGTTTCAGCTATTTCCCTTTTAGTAACTCAATTCTCCAAGTTTTTTTTTGTTCACCTGTGCTGTGGCCAGGTATTGAACTCACAAGTCTTTGGGTCAAGTAATTGGATTACTTGAATCAAAACTTTTTTTGTCCACAAGGACAATGACCCAGTGGATAAAAGCGAAATTCCAATGTATATCACCTGAAAAAGGCCGGAGCATACAACGGCCAAAACATCGTGAATATGACAATAAAGATGAGGACAACAGTCCAAACAATGTAAATAGTTACAATACCTCATCTCAAAAATATAGGCAAAAAGTTTTAAGTTTTATAGTCATGCATGAAAGTGCTGCCTCACATTCTGCAAAACTGATGATAGCTCACCTTGCCAAAATTGTTTCAATTACACTAGAAAAATGTTAATTGTCCAGAGCCTCTTCAGATATTAATCTAATAGAAAACTGGTGGTTCATTAAAAGAGATGTATATAAGAATGATAAGGAAATGTTTACACCATTCATTGACCAAGCAGGCAGTGCTACTTTTGGGTGAAATTTATAAAATAATTTTTCAGGAAAATAGATTTTTTAAGTCATCACTCTTTTCAGTATTAATGGGGGTTTCCTCCCTAACCTTTGATCTGAAGTAGTGTGGAATGTCAACATCTTAAGTCATTATTTTCTCTTAGATTTCCATATGCTGTCCATTCCAGTTGTTGCTGTAAGTCTTCAAGATGCAGTTTCTGTTATTTGGTATAGTACTTTGTTTGTGATTCTGTAGCACTTGTCCATGACATTCAAAGAAGAATGGGCCTCCCTAAAATCTACAGGTTTCATTGATTCTGCCATTTTTAATCATTGATCTGAAAAAGCATTTCCATAGAGCTGAGAGTTTAGATATTTCTGAATGAGTTTGGCACTATGCATGACATCCATATGAAAGTTTTGATCTGACACAGCTATTTTAAAAACATGACCCTTTTGGTTTTGTAGTAATTTGCCATCTTGTGTGAAACTACTCCCTGCAGAGTCTCATGCAAAGATACCTGAGAAGTAATAAAATCAACTGAAAGCAGACAATGACAGATTTTCTTAAACAAGTCAATATTTTTGCAATAAAATTATCCAACCAATGTTGATAACATTTTCAATATATATATATATATATATATATATATATATATATATATATATAACAGTAAGGTTAACTCTGTACAAGGCCCAAAGGCCAATCAAGGTAGAGGGTTACATTAAGGGATAGTTTATATGGATAGGAGGGGAATATAACGGTTGACTCTAGACTAGAATAGGTTAAGATTGTAGTGATCAGGTAAACAACCTCTTGGGAGTCTGTTTCACAGAGCAATGGAACATGGGAAGAAGCGATTTGAATGGATTTACTGCTCGCTGATCAAATACAAAGGGAATGTGGATGGTTTGCTATGTAAGTATCATGGAAGATCCTTAAGAAGATAAACAGGAATTTCTTTTCTTATTTGATATTATTAGAAACTGTTGTGATATAACCCAACTTCCCCATTCACGATAATGGACAGACTGGTTGCCGATTAAGTACGACCACAGCGGACAGTCGTGAAGTCTTTGTTTGTTAACCCCTATTGAGGTTAGCATACTCCCGACTGTCTCTGTACTTGACACACCTACATCCGATTATAAACCTATTATTGAAAACCAACACTCGGGTTACTTTGTTTATTATATCTTGCACGAGATATAACAGAAATGTTTTGTAATAGATATTTTGGTGGGGTTGAAACTTTATTATGCTACATGAAGAGTGTTCACATTATTCTAAATAAAAAACAATAAAAGGGTTTGATAACAGTTACAGAAAAGCAAGGAGACAACATGTAAATATAAGAAATTTATTCATGTTTAATGGGCTCATCAAATATATTTCGCTGTGATTTTTTTTTAGAATTATTTATAAAAAACAAATAATATTGAATTCTATTTACATAATAAAGCCAGATACTCCACCACCTAAAAAAACAAAACACAGCAATGTTTTTTTGATGAGGATGAATATTATAAAGGTGAAAGTCATCCAATACATTGCTTACGTAAAGGAATGCTGAAAATCTTACCAACATCGGTCAGTTAATCATGAAAACACAGACTTGTCTAATCTGAAATGATGTAAATGTTGAAAAAGAGAATCTAAAAACTAGAGACTTTAGATATTAACTAACAATAGCTTGTTTTAATTTTATGGCACCTCTACCATTTTATAATACAATCCCAAAAAACTACCCCCCACAAAAAAAAAAAAAAAAAAAAAAAAACGGATTTATTTTCCTGGTTTGTGAAATTTCTAACAAATTTTTGATTGAACAAAGAAGCCCCAACACAGACAAGCCTTTTTGGGTCTCATTTAATGGATCAAAGTAAGAAAAGTGAAAGCGAAAGTAACTTATCCATGTGGAAATGGGAATCAGTGAGCCAAGTTTACATTATGATTTATTTTGTTGCACTTGCTTTTGTATAAATGCTCTTTGGAAAGGAACAAATCTACTTCTCTCCCCTCAGCTATAAGTTAAATAACATGATAGATTGGGCTCTGAAGAAGGCAACAGGAAACCACTCTGCTATCTTTCACAAGAATGCACAGAATTCACAGATAAAGAAAAGGATTCTCTGGAGAGTCATGATTAACTACATCCAGAAGAGAGATTAAAAAAAAAAAAAAAGGACAAATCTGAAAATTGCTTTTATCTTTTACAGTAGTGCAGACCAAAAAGTACAGAGTGCAAATGTGTTGATGCAGTCCTAATTTTACAATGGTCTTTTAATGATACTGTCATCACTCAGTTCTAAAGAGTAAGGTTTCAGCAAATCTTCTCAAATACATTTTAAATAATATCTAACTTCAAAGAAAATATTTCAAATATTGCAATGTGATTTGTTTTTTTTTATTAAATAATTTTGTTATTAACCTAGTCATGATGACCAACATAAATTATACTATTTTTCGGTGGACATCATCTTGGGTCATTTTTATTTATAGGTGGACATCTAAGGTTATTTAAGCAAGGTGCATTTGGTGATGTCCTCTTTGATATGAATATAAACATAAATAGGATGTTTTGACACATACACACAGAAAGAATATATAAAAAATACATTTAAGTATCATCTAAATATCATCAATTATTTGCATTAATGCCTTGACCAAAATGATTTGTTTTTTGTTTCATGAAGAGGTCAAAGTGAATAGCTAAACAGAGAGATTTTGTTTTAGATGAGAGAGAGAGAGAGAGAGAGAGAAAGAGAGAGAGAGAGAGAGAGAAAGAGAGAGAGAGAGAGAGAAAAAACAAAATTGCAATTCTCTGAATATGTGTTTAAATTCACTGAAGATTAACTGTACAGGTGACATTACTTGGATTACAGTAAATAATCCCAGATACACATTAATATATGCACAGGTTACAAAATAAAAAAAAATGCATCTGCAGTATACCTGCCACACATTACCACACAATATAATCTCCTTGGACGTTTAGACAGGCCTTTACTCTTAAATGTATACAATCATACAAATGGCAAATAACATCCTGAGAATAGAATATTACACGCCTCTTGCATCTGTTTATACAATACAGCAAGAGACGTAGATGGGCTAACTAAATGAATCAGGTCATGCCCTATACATATTCAATGGAGAAGAGGTTTGGCTAGGAGATGAGTTGAACAGAGCATGCTAAGTAGCACAGGTATCAGGTGGGCAGGTATTATTCTGCTTATCATTTTCCCCTTGCACCAGAGAAGGTTGAACAAGGTTTTAGTTGTACATGGTGCTGTTCAATGTTCTCTATGCAAAAAAAAAAAAAAATGAAAGTCTTAACATATGGTACCTAAAAAGAAATGAGATACCAAAAAATTGGAGATTTCAAAAATCTTTTTTTCTTTTTGACAGTGGGAAGCCATAAACAATAAATGTAAAGATTATTGAGAAGCTGACAGATATATTAAGTCAAGGATATATAGGTATTATGGAGAGAAATTACTTACTATCATAATTGTCCTCTGTTAATCCCTTGTGATCCACCATTTGGTTAGAATCTGATGAAGGAGAAGGAGGCCATGTTATTGACTGTGGAGACATTTCAGCATTAGCCTCTGAAATATTAGAAATTAAATCAACTGAAAATTTACAATGTGAAAAAAGAAGTGAAATATTAGAAAAAAAAAAAAAATCTCTGCCAATATACAGAATGAAAGAAACTACAACACTTTTTTGTTCATGAACAAATTCAGAAACAAGGAAAACAATTTTTAAAAATATAGACAAACATCTAGATAAATGCATTGGATAAAAAAAAAAAAAAAAAAATTGTTTTGTTTAACCAACTACATAAATAATTCAAAGTACAATTTTAAATGTCAAATATATATTCTAGAAATCTCTGCAAATATACACTGTAACCGTTTTTTTTTTTTTTTTTTCACTTGCGTTCCTCCATGGCTGTCATACTGTTAAAAATGTTTGCAGTCTTAAAATGAGATCCAGATTGGTTGAAGGATAGCCAAGATGGCAGGCACAGATGAAATATCAAGGAGGAAGGTGAAGGAATTGCCTACACCCATTGGAAACTGTTGGTGTGAGATACCAAAATGAGAAGAGGGTGGATTGATATCCTGTGACCACTACTCATGGGAGAGGGGATTTCTCCAAAATTGGGAATGTAATTAATTTCCCAGGATCAAACAATGGGCTCTTGTTGGCAATTAGGGGAATCACCAAAACTCCAGGCCACGTTCATGCCCCAGGCCAGTTTTGGGTGAAGATCCATATAATCAGAAAATCAAAGGTTTGGGTGAAGATCCATATAAACAGGAAATCGAAATGGTTGTGGCAGCTGTTCCAGACACTGGATGAGAAACAACAGCTTCACCTGATCTCATGTGACTTCCTGCCTGAAGAAAACCTGTGCCAGAAGCAGATTTAGCTAAACCAACCGAATTATTGCACTGAACTTACTAAGCAGCAAGGGTTGATATTTTCTGCATGAAGAATTAATAATTTTTAATATCAAGAATTAACCAAGTCCTGTACAAAGAATGTATATATAAAAACATTTTCTTTTACTCAAATTGTTTTTTTATTTTTATTTATTTATTTTTTTTTTTATTTGTGACTTCCATTCTGCCTGGACCAAACCAATACAATGATTTCTGTCAGCAATTCGATCCTCGCCAGCCTTATGATCAAAATCAAACACAACATGGGATAGGGCAAGGCTTGGGTTGAAGTGATCAACTCATCAATCAGCCACAAGGATTGGACATTGGATAGAACAGCAAAGAAAAAGGCTACAAAACTATTGTCTTTCATGTAAATGAACATGCATTTTTATAAATTGTGCTGTATTCTGGGGAGAACGATATTATGTGGAAAGACATGACAGTGTCATTTTGTTCAGAGGTTTTTTTTGTTTTTTTTTTTAGGAAAAGCTTTTAAGATTATTGCTGTCTTGTCTTCCTGCTATTTTGAATTACATTCAAAATTCGTAACACTCACTAAACATGTAAAAAAAAGTTTTAAGTTTCAAGGATGCGCCAATAGCCAGAGGCAGGAGGATGACCAGTTGATGATAGAGGAAATATTTTTTTTCAATTTATGGAGAAGATACAAAGATGAATAATCAAATGGATTCAGTAACACCCATTAAGGTATTGATCAAAATCTAGTCATGAAAATCTCAATGTCATACACCACAGGAGAGAAGGGAAAAGTGTCAAAATATCCAAATTGAACATTGAAATTCATTTGTCTCAATTTGGCTAGGTTTAGTTTCTTTGAAATGAGATTTTCATATAAGTAAAGAAAAAAACAAAAAAACAATAGTATTGTATAATTGTATGCAATAGACAACAAAGAAAACCTTGCATTTTGAAAACAATTTGTGAAGTGCAATAAAAAAGGATGCTTAGCAACAAAAATGAAATGCTGAGGATGAAAAGGCAAATTAAAGAAACCACCACTAATTGTAGTAATGATTGGTCTTCATTCAAATATGGCATATATGCGATGTGTAGTGTGGGATTGAAAGTTGACTGCTTTAATATGAGATCCTTCTGGAAAACAAAATGTTTGATTCAAACAAATCAGTAAGACCATTTAAAGGGAAAAAGTGATGAAAAAAAACCTTCATTAATCCAATTTATGTTCACATCCTTTACAATTTTATTCTAATAAAGCAAAAGATTGAATGATAAACAAACACAAAATACACACCTTCATAAAATTCATATAAATACCTACAAATACTTTGTGTGTGTATGTGTGCTTTTACAGTGAGGTTTACCCTTTACAAGGCTGGCAGCCACTCAAAGTAGAGGGTTACATTTGGAGGACATTTGCGTGTAGAAGAGTGGAAAGTAGTGGTTAACTATCCTTGAAAGGTTAAGATTGTAGTGATCGGGGAAACATCCTCTTTGGAGTTGATTCCACAAAGTAGTGGTTTGTGGGAAATGGCTGCTTAGGTGGAACCTACTTCTCAATGGTGGAATACAGAGAGAATGTGGTTGGTTTGCTACTATGTAAGTGTTATAGTGTGTTCTTACTGAAAAGGTTTGTCTTGGTGGGACCAGGGAATGTAGTTTAAGAACTTTCCATGGATGTAGCAATAAAGCAGTGAGAGGCATGCCACTTCCCGCCTATGAGAGAGAGGTTGAAGGGTGGAATATAACTTATCACCCACAAGTGCTTGGAGATACTTTTCAATTCTGTCTAGGCTCGAGAGTGAGGTCTGGGCAGCTCCTGCTCAAATATGACAACAGTACTGCATTTTTGGCACACTCTGGATCTTGTATACATAGAGAGCTAAAGAGAAATCTAATCAGAAATCAGGTCAATAATTTCAGTTTCACTAACAGAAATTCTCTTTTAATAAAAAAGATGTAAAAGCAAGTCATTTACTTTTCTGTTTGTTAACTTCCATCATAATCAAATTCCTACCAACTAATTACAATCATTGAAATCAAGTTGATTAGCTTTTGTGATTGAAATATTTCAAGTAAAAACAATGCAAGTGACAAAAATAAAATGATTTTGGAATAACTTCTTGTGAGGATATCAAAGAAAAAAAAAAAGGGTTTATGATTAAAAGTGTAAACATACACTGGGTACCCCTCTCCACTTCTCTCAGTCTTTTACCAATTGGGCACATCACCTACCATTGTACTTCAGTTGCTGTTTATGTAAACAAGAACTACGAAAGGACTGGTGCGCATTCACACTGAAAAGCAAGGTGAAGTATTACCAGGGCTTGTGTGTGTGTGTGTGTGTGTATGGGGGGGGGGATGAAAACACAAATCTTGATTCCAACATAATTGACTATTTATTAACCGATTCACAGATGGTACACTCTAGTGGGGTGTTAGGTGACACTTGGGAAAATGCTACTACTTCTCTTATGACAGACCAGATCTTCCCTTTGGCCAGCAAGAACACTAACTTCTTGCTTCAACTGCCTCCAGGGTTCCCACAGATCTGTGTAAAAAAAATTCCAGGACTTTTCCTCAAATAACTTTTGAAAAAAATGTATAATTGATTTTTACAAGATTTTTAAACACAGAATTTAACTTTTGTTTACAATGTTGTCAAAAATGGTGGACATGATCAATGGCAATTTTGCTGAGCCATTTAAAAATAAAATTTTAACAACCAAAATTTCAAACATACTAGAAGGATTAAACAACTAAAAAAAATAATTAAAAATTAATTTGGTCTTTCTTCTTAATAATAACAAACATTTTGATGATAAAACTTTGTTTTTACTAAGTTTGGTGCCTTTTTTCATCATGCAATACTGTTTTTTTGGCAAATTATTGAAGATACCTAAGCTACAGATACAGGTTATTATTAGGCTGAAAACTTTAAAAATAATATTCTTATTTTTTCAAGGGTGCATTTTCTATTCTATCATTCCTGATTATATTTTCTTCGAGTCAAATTTGATTCTCAAACTTGTTACTTTTGGCAACAATTTAGAAGACATACCTTCAATAATTCGCTGAAAAAAAAAAAAAAAAAAAAAAAAAAAAGGCCCCAAACTTAAAAACAATGTTTTATAAAAATATCTTATTAACAAGAAAGACCAAAGTATTTTTTAATATTATTTTTATTCCTTTCTAACAGATTTTATTCCTTTCTAACACAACACATTTTTTTTTTTAAATTATAATGTTTTAAAAATATTTTAAAGTTCTTTCAAACATCGTTAAAATTAGGTTATTATGCTATTAAATGAGGACTATATTTACTAAGCAAAAATTGAAAAGCTTAATACAAATCATCCCAACAAACATTTTTTTACAATGATTAAAAAAAAATTTTTTTTTGTGTCTAAATGTTCTTTTTTAAGTATGGGGTTTCATAAGCAACATCATTGTTAGGTCATGATTTTCAAGGGTTGTCCCCCCTTATGCTCATAAACCTTTTAGATTTACTTAAGAAAAATAATTTGTTTTTATTTAGTTTTTTTCAATTTTTTTTAAGTTTCTTTATTCTTTTTTGTGAGTCATATTTTGATAAAACATTTGAAAGGTAACCCTTTATTTCATTTTAAACCTAATGCTTAGCTTGATTATTTTTATACTTTTTCATTTACATTTGAAATTAATTTTCTTTTATTTTTATTTTTAATTGTGGTAGGTACCTCCACTAATTCACGATACCTAAGTTTTAAAAATGAATTTAAAAAACAAAAATAAAAAAGCTTTCTTGAAGCTTTCATTTTAGCTTTAATTGAAAGCTAAATTATTAAAAAATATATTTTTACTATTTCCAGTAAGCAAAATACTCTGGTGTATTTCAAACAGAAATTATGTATTGATTAGAATGATTTTGGTAAATTTTTTTTTTTTTGTCATTAAAAAAAGTTATAAAATATCTTGCCATCTTTTTTCTAAACAAAAGTTAATTCTTGTTTTTTAAAATTTGTAAAATACAATATATTTTTCTGAAACATTGAGGAAAATTAGCAAATTTAAAATTAAATTAAGCTGATTTGAAATTAAAAAAAAAATTAAAATACACAGCACTGGCACAAGAAAAAATATTAACCAAAATATCGAACATGATAGAAAGGATTCAAAAATTAGAGCTAACTCAA